GACTACCAGCAAAGGACTTCTGTTTGCTATATTCTCAAATGAATGTGTACACAGTAATTCAAAATATGATATATAAATTTTTTTTTTTTTTAATATTTTAAGTTATTTGTAAATTTTATATTTTTTCAAGTCGCTTTTAGGATCAACTTTAGAATTTCAAATGGAAATTACAATGTTTGAACACAGACGCTATTTCATGATGTATGGTTAAAATACAAATTCATAACAACTTACAACCTTTTGACCTTCATCATAGAATTTATTCAATTATTGAAATTAATTTAAAAAATATATTCTCAATATGTTTACATGCATAAGTTTCCATTTATTTTTTTTTCATGTTTCCAAAACCTCTTTTAAAATAATGTAAAATATAAAAAAATTATAAATAATTGGTTGTGTCCAAAAAAAAAAAAAAAAAGTAATTCTAAACATTTTTTTTCCATTTTGAATATCTATATGATGATAAATTATCTATAATATACATTTTAAATCATGCTGTATATGAATATAATATGTATAGTATGTATGTTATTATATTTATTTGAATGTTCTAACAACAACGTGCATATTGTGCATGTGTATTTCATATCGATATAAATATTTGAAGTTTGTTTAATACCATAGCGTTGATGTATAGGTACATATTATATGATATATTAGTAAATTTTCATTTGCATTCTTATTATTATCACGATAAAACTTAGTTTGAATTACACTTACGAAGACTTATGCGTGACGTGTTCAGTTTTAAGTTGAGTATAATACATTACATATTAGGTACACTTTTAAATAGACTGTTCCATTCCATATAGGTGTATGAGTTTGTGGTGTGTGTGTACAGAACGAACCCTAAACATGAAGTTTCGCAATGAGTGCCCGCGTAGATCGTGACTTTTATTTAAAGCGATGGATTAAGGGAGAGGGAAGAAAACGACCACGCTCCTTTTTTTATTACAAAAATCATTAATACATATTTATACATTATGATTTTTAGTTGAATAAATTATTTTAAATTACTACCAATTTACTGTAATACAAATATAAAGTTACATTAAACACTTTTTTTTATATTTTAATACTAAAAGTCAATAACTCAAATACTACCGGGTAAAAATGTTTTCTTGAAAATAGCATAGTTTTATATACTTCTAAAATATTCTTTAAAAAAATTTCAACTTTATACAATTCCTTAAAATTAAAAATGTTTTAATAATAGTACTGCGTATTATTATTTAATTTTTATGTATTTATTACTAATTACTATACCACGTGTAATAAAGAAAGACTCGAGATCATCCACGCAAATTTGTACGAGTGGTTTGTTATCGTTAATTTTAATCCTTTGTATAGATGAAAATACTGTACACGATAGCATCACACCTAATATTATTTTAGTTGTACCTATTCTATAATACAATATACATTCAATATTACAATATTATATAAAGTAGCTATATTATTAACTATCAGTCCGCCACCCACGCGATAACTACTTCTAATAATAATTTAAATCGTGATCCAAAACAATATTATTATTAGCAGTAATTCAAATTTGATACACGTTTACTGAGTACATAATAATGCTGTAGTGATGTGCGTCCACCATATCGAAGTCAATCGTTTGGCATTAAAGCGATTGCTCTAATGCAGTGTTATCAGTGTTTTGAGTAAATTATATTTACGTGTAACAATTAAGCGTATACATATTATAGCTATTATTCACAATATATATCTACAAATCTGCCATCAACACCACATATTAAACTGTTTCAGATGACTTAAAAGAACGTTTTTATCGAGTGGAAATAGAATAATGTTTTCGGCGTACTTATTGTTATAAAGTACGGAAACATTTCGTCAAAACGTTTATAATTATCCACACTGTTTCAATTTTGCTATTCCTAGACTTGATCGGTTAAAATATGTTTATTATCATCGTACGCATTTGAAGAAATCCATTTTTGAAAAGGAAACATTATTCGGGCGTGGCCGTCGAGGTATTTTTAATAAATCAAATAAAATATATTGAACGTTTTATCGAATAGTTCTGTGAAAGTTCACTTGGTCGGAAATGTCGAACAAAGTATGACGGTTACACCCAGATGAACTTTTCAGCGAATATTTTAAAACTGCGTATACCCAAAAATCAAACTCTATCATAAAAATGCGTTCAATATCTACTATAATATTATAGCACAAGCTTTTTATACCAACAACTCACTTATCCATAAATCAATATAATTTTATAATCGAAAAAAGTTTTCACATTAAATAAATTGTATCATGCTCATAAACAATTTTTTTTTACATTACAGAGTATAAATTATAAAATGATATGGAATATAAATTTATATTTATTTTATGTTTTTGATGTAAATAAATAACTAACTTAAAAATTGACTTTAAAGTTTAAATAACTACTCATATCTAATTCATTTTTAAAATATTATTTAAAATAATTAATTAATTGACAAAGACAATCCTATTGTAATGATATCTTGAAGTATTAAAAAAAGTAATTTTTCGTCTAATATTTAAAATAGATTTTAATGATGATTCGATGAAAGACGTAAATTAATGTGTAGTGTTAAATACAAACGTAGGTAAGTAGTGAATGTTTAAAGCTAGAATTCAAAGAAATTCAAAACGTGAAAACAGTGTAAGAATACATTATATTATAGCTATATAGAATAATGTAAAAATATGACAATGTTAAATGGAAAAAAAAATAACCTCAAAATATAATTTACACGTAAAAAACAAAAACAAATTGTATTCTTATTTCTTATAAAGTTATACACTGTAATTACATAGAATGAAAAATGAAAAAAAAAATGGAATTTAACATGAGAAAAAAAAATTAAATTGTTTTAATTCTTAAGAAAAATTATTTATTATTTTTTTTTTAAATCTGAGATAAAACTTGGTATAAGTATATTCTATTTAAATATAAATAATATTTAGTATTAAATTGAGATGTAATCTTTAATAATGTTCATTTTGTATATTACATTTTAATCGTTTAATTGGGATTTTTATTTTAAAATAATTGTTTGAAAAACAATAGAAAAACCACAACTATTTTAGTATCTATTTTGTTTTTGTATTGCTTAGCAGAAAATTATCTATATACCAATATTAACTCGATGATTAAACTAAATAATGAAATATGTAACTTTTAGTATTATTTAAATTTCCAAATGCATAAATATAAAAATAAATAAACATATTAATTATTATTATTATTTAAAAATTATATTTAAATTAGTAAATCAGTCGAGTGTAATTATATAATTTTATTATAAATATATTAATACTGTTTCAACATTTTAGTTGTGTGAAATTATAATTAATAGTTAGATTTCAGTTGCAACTGCTACTATTAAACTATATTAGATAAACTAAAATAAGTGTTTAAGATTTCGACATTAGATAGTGAATTTATCACATAGAGAACATATAGTAAAGTATATATAAATAAATACTGAGTTCGATTTTAATATTCATAAATTAACAAACGTTAACCTTGATGAACGTCTATGTATTCATTATTATTATGTATATCTTTAAAAGGTTAATTTTTGTAATCTACTATTTTTTAACTTTACCCTTTAAATTAAATTTTTTTTTTATTGTTTTAATATTAGTATTATATTTTTAACACATTGCTGTCACCCTACCTTAGCTGAAATCTCCGAAAGATTAAGTATTTCATAATTTTTTTTTTTTTTTTTTAAAGACTCTATAACAGCCATATTTTGACAAATAAAATGTATAATTTTTGAACTCTCAACTGTTTTCTTATATACACGCCAACGTCGTTACTTCAAATATTAATAATCAACTGATTCTATTAAGATAAATAAGAGTAATGAGCTGTTTTTATTATGACTACGATAAAATTTCACATGTCTCCATAGGTAATATACTTCATTGATACAAATTAATTATTACAAAACTAACAAACCATAATGCGTAATGTGTGATAACTATAATTATTTTAATTTCTTGTAATAAATTATAATATTGTACATAGAAAAGAATAACTAGATATTATATGTATGGTATATTAATATGGATTTAACCTAATATTATCAGTCCAGATTTAATGTAAATTCTAAAACCGTGAGTCAACTTTATAGCTACTAAGTCAAGAATTACTATTCCTTCATAAATCGACCATACATAAAAATACAATAATTTTTTATCAACTGAATCGAATTTCAAATTGTCCATACTACAACAGGCTGAAACGTTAAATATAATTATTTTTATCATTTAGAAACAATGAAACTATGATTATACATAATCTATTTGTATTTATTGAATTGTACAAGTACCACGTGTTACTATGTCAACTAAAAACATAATACTTTTTATTATGGTTCTTGAGAGAATAAAAATAAAAAATTACTACCTTAAATAAATTGTCATAGAAGAGTTTATAATTGTCATTATTATAATATAAAAATATTTTTTATACGGGTTTTATTTTTCACACACAATTTTTAACAATTTAATTAATAAAATATTACTATTGGTTAGTATAATTTGTTTGTTTACTGGGTAGAAAATTAAAAATTCAAAAATAAATTAATAAGTGGTAAAATTCTTTGGCAATAATATCATGTTCTGAAGACAAATGAAAATTAAATATCGATCCGTTACAAGCATATATTATATTCGTTCATTCGGAAGCTTTCTATTGCATCCGAAAATAGACTAAATTATATTAAAGTGTGTGGTTAATATATATATTATGCATAGTGACCGCAAGTACGCTACCGCTGTCACCACTATCACCACCACAGGAGGGATCGAAATGTTGTTCGATAATAAATTGGATACAGGGAGGGGGGTGAATCCTGCAGAGACTGGGTTGATGAGAGGTCAAATGAGGTGGTGAAAAGTGTCGTTGGTGGTTTACATGGCAATGGAAAAATTGCCCACACAAATAAAGGGAGGAAAAAAGCAAACATTTGCCCATTTCTACTCACGATATTTACTCGGTCGAAAGTGTCACTTTTCACTCTTATTCCTCACGAGACCAGTTAAATTATGACGTTTCTTCGGTGACACTATGACTACTACCAATGCAGCCACTGTTGACTCAACAAGCACGGGATATGGCACATAGACACACATATGTTTTGCAAGAACAGTGACATTTCTATAAGACAAAAATAAATATATTTCTAATATTATAAAGTTTATTTTATTCGAGAAAATGTATTTCATTATTTATATTATAACTCATCATATGATATCGTGGTTTATAAGTAAAATGCATCTCTCAGGTAAAACAAAGGTTCTTTAGTCTTTTGTCAAGTTATTGCAGCAGGTTAGGTTATTTATTTAATTCACATAACATAACATAATATAAATTATTATTATTTGCAGTTGTATAGCAGTTAATAATTTAATTACTAATAACTACAATATAATAAACATGTAAAAAAATAAATAATCATCCAAGTCATAATATTTGATTTTAAATTAAATTCGTTAATCTCGTAAATTATTAAAGATAAAAGTATTCTAACGATAAAGTAAAAAATACGATTTTTTTTCTGAGAGTGTTTGGTATTGGTTAATTGATAATATTGATTACGCAGATAAAAGTTAAACTACGAAAGAATTGCAAACAGATCAATTTGTATTCGTTGATCAGTTAAATTGTGTGGTATTTTGATTAATTTCAATATAATTTACGCTTCAATTTTATTTGCAATTATAACCCTATTAATATTTTAAAACTGAATTGAAATTGTGAAAATTTTATTAATAATATAGCTATTTATACATAAATATATATATATTATAAAACATTATTTTCGGAAAATAAATCAATTAAAAATTCGTTCTGAGCCCAACCATAAGTAAAAATGAAAAAATGACATTTAATTTAATTTAAAAATCAAAATTAAATGATTGAATTTGAATGTACTATTTGCCTTTAACTGAAATTTACAAGTATAATATGGCAATAACTAGTAAAGTAGTATAATCTTTAGCATGTGGTCATGTATGGATGTATGGATAGAAGATGTGAGACATTGAGATAACCAAGCTGTTAACCGTTTTATACATATACATTTACTAATAATATTACTTTGTTAAGCTCCAATTGTAATTCTCTTAAAATTTTATAATTTTAAAATATAAACACAATAATATATTGTGGTGATTCTTTTTATATTTTTTATGCTTAGCTATAATGATTATAAAAATATCTGGTGGAAATTTTAAGTATCTATATCTATTCATTTTTGAATTACAATATATAAATAATTTTAATTGTATCAGAAATTTGGTTTGCTTTAAATTGGCCTTATTTTCCTATTTTTATTTTATTTTACACACATATAAAATTATATCTTTTAAAATTAATAAATTATTATAACTTTGCTTAGAATATTAAACAGTCTTAAACTTCTTATTATAAAAACTTCATTAGAAAATTACACATATGTAAACATAGTAGTCATTATACTTGATAAAATTACCATCCCTAATATTTAGAGTCATAAGAATAAAATAGTCAAGTTTTAATTTACTTGGGTGTATACTGTACACGTTTCGAAATTACTTTATAGTTAGGTAATTGTAATAGTAATAATATTATCCACCATCAAACTATTAGGTATATAATTTAATTATTATATTTTATTCGTTTTTTATTTTTATTACAATTTAATTAAAATTAATTTTTATACATTAATACATAAAATATACATTTAAATACAAGTTTTTTATTATAATATCGTTAACTTGAATGTCAAATTTATGTGAATTTAATACATAAATAAATATACTTATAATAAAATGCGTACTAACATAAAATTGTATCAATAGATTTCTGCCAAACTGTTCTGTAAGCATAATATGCCAATTAATCATAAATAATATATACGTTGAATGTATATGACAAGTAAATTATTATAAGCGTGTAACAGAATTTCCTATAAAATAATTTTGAGTGAATCTCTATTCATAAAAATATAAGCTGTACTCAATGAATAATATTAAACTTTTCTGTTTTTAAAATCACCAACAATTATACTTAAAATTTAATGGAAGAAAAATATATATTTTTTATCTACATATACCTATAGGAAATAATTATTAAATGCAATTTACCCGCCTATATTTATAACCATAGGCATAATCTGTTTTATTAACGATTAATAGTCTTTATTTTAAACTTTGAATAAAAATAAATGAATAGACATAAACAAAAATCAGTTTTAATCGATAAAAATAATAAATTTATATTAATTTAGAATTTCAGTGGTTTATAATTTCCATAAAATTAGAGATAATCATATAAAAGGGTTTGAATCGTTGAGCAAACAACATTACAATATTAGGATCATCATTATTTATTTATTTATTTATTTTTTTAACGTAAAATGTATATTTATATACTTTTTTAGATACACAGTTATAATTTATAAAATATAGACTTGTGTTTGTTTTTAACTATACTCTTATGGAAACAGTCATAATTACTGCAGTAATTAATTGTATAAATTGTATGATTATTTTATGCGACATTCCAACTTAATTAAATTGCATTGCAACAACAATTATTATGTGATGATACAGTGTCATCATACTATGAAATAATTATAAATTGGCTTATGAAAAACTATAAAAAATTTAGAATCCACTTTTATGCATAATTTGTTATTGGGCCTATGTCGTTAAAACTCAAATATAGTCCATTATATATTATTTTAAATTTATAAACATATATGAATATAATTCTATAATTTGAACGAAAAGCAATATGTACGCATTAGGCTGCAATTCACTTTTTTATTAATTTGAGATAATTTATGTATTTACCAAAGTTTTGTTTATAATATAATTTTTTTTTTGTCTATGCAAATTTGTTTAAAATCAAGATTAATTACATAATTAGAAAACCAAAATTTTAAGAATGATAGAAAATTGTATATATATACAGTTTATATTAGTTTTTATTATTATTTTAAAAACAAAATAGATTTTTTCGGTAGAAAAGTATTAAATAAACCCAAAATAGCAAGAACCTTTATAGATAATTCTTTAAGTGATGATGTCACAACGTATTGTGATGTGGTCATAAATCACGATACATTTGACCATCATTATAATATATTAGATTAGATACATTTTTATAATTGGACACATTTATTTTGTGTGCAATATCATGCATATACATTATTTTATGATGTGCGTTTAGATTAATATGTAGATATTATTTCATAAAAACAGAACTAATAATTATATATTCTCGAGTATAATAATATTATTATCACGATGTGTTTTATCATAATTTATAACTTTCATTTCCGTATAGACCCTTCTTTGTATTTACGGCCAACACCTGGGATGCAAAACGGATATACTTCAGTCCATGTATCTGCGGAAATGATGACGTAACCACAGATATATAATACAAATAGATGGCTAACTTGGCTTTAATGATTAAGTCGTAAAATGGTCAACTATTCTCATTAAAAAATGTCTATGTTTATAATTAGTTAATTTAAATTTTAAATGTCACATAATCAACAACTTAAATAAACAAATAAATAGATTTTTTTTATTATCACTATTCAAATTTTATCAATGAAAAAATTGTAAATGTGGGACCTCTTTAATCAGAAAATTTGGTCATTTTTTTTACTTTAAATCATTACAATAAGGACGTGAGTTATTTGTTTGTATTATATAGCCATGGATATAAATGATATTCTAACCAAACGTTCAAAGGAAAAAAAAATTGGTCTGCAATGCATTCATCCAAAAAAAAAACATTTCACTTATGAAATTAAATATGAAGGGGTATAACGACATATACAACTGTCGTGTATACATTGAAATTGTTCAAATTAATTACGTGAAAGCGAATGGCATTGTTTTTATAATATAATCATCATCAGTTACTATAGAAAGGCTACAAGTCTATAAAAGAAAACATGTACGATTGTATAATAATTGCTTGTTGACGGCATCTGTAAACAATGTTTATTTAAAACAAAAATAATATATGTTTATTGTTTCTATATAAGCGGTTCCTAAAAAATAACGATGGCCAAAAAAAGAAAATTATTTTAGGGAGTTTTGTTCTACAACCTTGTTAATATATTTTACAAATAAAAATAATATTCAATTACACATACAATTTACATAAAAACTAATTTTTATTAATAATTATTGTTTATTTTTAAATTACACATATCATATTTTATATTTCGCTTTAAATAATAAAATTTTCAAAGTTTTATAAAACTAATAATGTTCTAATTAAAATGTGTAAAATTATATACAAATTTTGAAATTAAAATGAGAAAACACATGTTTATAGTGTTTTGAAATGCGTACAGATAAATATAAAGTGTTACTAATATATAATTTTCAAAAATAAAAACATATTTAAAAAATTATCAATGGGAATAAAATTGAAAATTCTACAAAAATACTATAGAATTTAATAATAAATGTAATTCAATTATTTAAATGATCATTAAAAATATAAAAAAGAAAACATTGTCTCTCAAAAATGGATACCACAAAGCAAAATAATTACCATACTCAAGTTTTTTTTTTTCTGATTGAACATTTTCTATTGTTTATTTTAATAATATTGCCTCTTTGTGTTGTATATAAGTACTTTTATTTATATGTTATACTTATAAATTAACCTACAATCCACTATTAGATAATAATTTTTGTAGTTAATCATTAATACAATATCATAAAATCCAAATTGCTATAACTTAATTACAATATAGATATAGATTTTTATTTCGTAAAGGTCAAAATATTTAATATTTTGTGATTATTTACCGTTATATAACCGTTATATTGTGGTCAGCTTGTAAAACGTTAATTATAGATATTTTAAAGCATAAGCATGAAGAAATAAAATAAATAAAATGTATTAACTACAATGTATTTAAAAATGATAATTAATATAATGTATATTCTTTAACAATACAATAAGTATAACTTAAGATTTACGAAGGAGATTTCAAAAACAGTTCAACGAATGTTGCATAGTTTTTATTTATTGTTTATTCCTGATGATACTTAAAATATTTAATGTTTGTGTAAATTAAAAAAAAAAATACGATTATTTATTATTTAAATAATTCTTTTATTATGGTAAAACCGAGT